GGTTGGGATGGTGTTCTTCGGCTTGCAAACATCCCCCTTTTTCCTCCAAACATAACGATGGTCATTATGGCCAAACAGTTCTATTTTTGTTTCATCAGACCAGAGGACATTTCTCCAAAAAGTACGATCTTTGTCCCCATATGCAGTTGCAAACCGTAGTCTGGCTTTTTTATGGCGGTTTTGGAGCAGTGGCTTCTTCCTTGCTGAGCAGCCTTTCAGGTTATGTCGAAATAGGACTCGTTTTACTGTGGATATAGATACTTTTGTACCTGTTTCCTCCAGCATCTTCACAAGGTCCTTTGCTGTTGTTCTGGGATTGGTTTACACTTTTCGCACCAAAGTACGTGCATCTCTAGGAGACAGAACGCGTCTCCTTCCTGAGCGGTATGACGGCTGCGTGGTCCCATGGTGTTTATACTTGCGTACTATTGTTTGTAAGGATGAACGTGGTACCTTCAGGCGTTTGGAAATTGCTCCCAAGGATGAACCAGACTTGTGGAGGTCTACAATTTATTTTCTGAGGTCATGGCTGATTTCTTTTGATTTTCCCATGATGTCAAGCAAAGAGGCACTGAGTTTGAAGGTAGGCCTTGAAATACATCCACAGGTACTCCTCCAATTGACTCAAATTATGTCAATTAGCCTATCAGAAGCTTCTAAAGCCATGACATCATTTTCTGGAATTTTCCAAGCTGTTTAAAGGCACAGTCAACTTAGTGTATGTAAACTTCTTACCCACTGGAATTGTAATACAGTGAATTATAAGTGAAATAATCTGTCTGTAAACAATTGTTGGAAAAATTACTTGTCATGCCGACTTGCCAAAACTATAGTTTGTTAACAAGAAATTTGTGGATTGGTTGAAAAACTAGTTTTAATGACTCCATCCTGAGTGTATGTAAACTTCCGACTTCAACTGTATGTATGTGTGTGTATGTATGTACATATGTGTGTGTGTGTGTGTGTATATATATATATATATATATATATATATATATATATATATATATATATATATATATATATATTTGCAAATAAATATATGGGGGATTGGAGGTGATGCAGACAATTACGTTGATGCAATATTATAGCTGATCTAAAATGAAAATAAGAAATTAATAAAAGTCTAGGTCAGGATCACCTGTAGCATAGTCAGTGTCAACTTCCTGATCTTTCTGAGGTTTGAACTTTGAACCCAATCCCTGATGGCACATTTTCAACTCGAATCAAGACATAATTTCCGGTCTGTCACAAGCCTTGGATCTTGTGTACTGACTGAGCCAACAAAGAAGTCGGCCCATATTGACATGGATGCACTGTGGGGTGTGGGAGAGACTTGCTTTCATTTTTAAGTGGAGATGTGAGTACATTTCCGGGGGTGGGGTGAGGGGGTGAATTAAGCTTATACTGCTCTTCCTGGAATGAATCTCCATCATCAAACGTTCTCTGCTTCTCATTAATTCGCATTCTCGCTCACCGCTGCTTGCACTTCAGCTGTCGGGGGGGGGGGGGGGGGGGGGGGGGGGGGGTCACAGGTAAGATGTCCCTGAGCTTGGGGTTCAACCCTTCTGAAAGGCAATGCTTCTGATCTCTGCCTTTTGACTGATACAGCCTGGGATTGGTGCAGATTTTAGATTGACATGGCTTGCGGCCAATGTGATCTCTGGCTGGCTGTTTAGCGTTACCTGGGCAACAAGGGTTCTTAAGCACCTGCCTGTACTTATGCCTGCTTTTCCTCCTCTTCCTCTTCTTCTCTCATGGTTGGCTCTCTCTAGCATGCTGCGTGTCATGGCTGATCTGAGGGAGTTTGGGAAGTATGCATGGGGGAGGGAGGAGGGAGGGATGCAGTTCAACAAGCATGAGTTAATCTGCTCTCTAGTGGGATCCTCCAAATGGAGATGTTCATCAACTTCAAGGTAAAAAGAAGCGTAACACGAAGATCCTACATAGGTCCTACAAAGAAGGTCATAGAGTGAGGGAAAAAAGTATTTGATCCCCTGCTGATTTTGTACGTTTGCCCAATGACAAAGACATGATCAGTCTATAATTTTAATGGTAGGTTTGTTTGAACAGTGAGAGACAGAATAACAACAAAAGAATCCTGAAAAACGCATCTCAAAAATTTTATAAATTGATTTGCATTTTAATGAGGGAAATAAGTATTTGACCCCTCTGCAAAACATGACTTAGTACTTGGTGGCAAACCCCTTGTTGGCAATCACAGAGGTCAGACGTTTCTTGTAGTTGGCCACCAGGTTTGCACACATCTCAGGAGGGATTTTGTCCCACTCCTCTTTGCAGATCTTCTCCAAGTCATTAAGGTTTCGAGGCTGACGTTTGGCAACTCAAACCTTCAGCTCCCTCCACAGATTTTCTATGGGAGACTGGCTAGGCCACTCCTGGACCTCTTGAGCCACTCCTTTGTTGCCTTGGCCGTGTGTTTTGGGTCATTGTCATGCTAGAATACCCATCCACGACCCATTTTCAATGCCCTGGCTTAGGGAAGGAGGTTCTCACCCAAGATTTGACGGTACATGGCCCTGTCCATCGTCCCTTTGATGTGGTGAAGTTGTCCTGTCCCCTTAGCAGAAAAACACCCCCAAAGCGTAATGTTTCCACCTCCATGTTTGACGGTGGGGATGGTGTTCTTGGGGTCATAGGCAGCATTCCTCCTCCTCCAAACACGGCGAGTTGAGTTGATGCCAAAGAGCTCGATTTTGGTCTCATCTGACCACAACACTTTCACCCAGTTCTCCTCTGAATCATTCAGATGTTCATTGGCAAACTTCAGACGGGCCTGTATATGTGGTTTCTTGAGCAGGGGGACCTTGCGGGCGCTGCAGGATTTCAGTCCTTCACGGCATAGTGTGTTACCAATTGTTTTCTTGGTGACTATGGTCAAAGCTGCCTTGAGATCATTGACAAGATCCTCCCGTGTAGTTCTGGGCTGATTCCTCACCGTTCTCATGATCATTGCAACTCCACGAGGTGAGATCTTGCATGGAGCCCCAGGCCGAGGGAGATTGACAGTGTTTCTTCCATTTGCAAATAATCACACCAACTGTTGTCACCTTCTCACCAAGCTGCTTGGCGATGGTCTTGTAGCCCATTCCAGCCTTGGGTAGGTCTACAATCTTGTCCCTGACATCCTTGGAGAGCTCTTTGGTCTTGGCCATGGTGGAGAGTTTGGAATCTGATTTTGATTGCTTCTGTGGACAGGTGTCTTTTATACAGGTAACAAGCTGAGATTAGGAGCACTCCCTTTAAGAATGTGCTCCTAATCTCAGCTCGTTACCTGTATAAAAGACACCTGGGAGCCAGAAATCTTTCTGATTGAGAGGGGGTCAAATACTTATTTCCCTCATTAAAATGCAAATCAATTTATAACATTTTTGACATGCGTTTTTCTGGATTTTGTTGTTGTTATTCTGTCTCTCACTGTTCAAATAAACCTACCACATGCCTTTGTCAGTGGGCAAACGTACAAAATCAGCAGGGGATCAAATACTTTTTTCCCTCACTGTACATATGCCCCTGTATGTTCACTGTAGATACTGTGATGATGATGCTCAAAATGGCGTCCGACGAAAACAAGGCTCCTTTGTAATAACAGTAGGGTATCTAAATATGGATTTCCCATTACTTCCTGTTTATTCTAAATAAACTCCACACAAGATAGAGCTGCTCTGTTTGTTGATATGGGCCAGGATGGGGGTTGAGGAGTGTCATAGCAGCAGTTGGCCACTTGGGGGCACTGATATTCCACTTTAAGGCCCTCATCGTGGGTTGTGTGATGAGTAAATTATCTATAAAAAAGTATATTTCTGTTGACCTCTTTTGGCTAATTGGACAGTTGCCTTTTCCTTATTTCTGCACCAGTCAACAGTGCTGGTTCTGGGAAATTCCATATCACCTTTCTGCTCATTGGTTCATTGACTTTCTCTCTGTGTCTCTATTAGTGTGTGTGATTACCTGTGATTTCCTGCTTTTGTCTTTAACCCTGTGCTCTCTTCCCCCTGCCCTGTAGTCGAGCCTACAGACGTCTCCGTGTCTACAACTGTCCCTCCTCCTCCTCCTCCTCCTCCCACTACTACCGCTGCTACTACAACCAGTAGTACTACTACTACTACTACTACTATTACTACTACTACTATTACAACTCCTAGCACTACTACTACTACTACCACAGCTGCTACTGCTGCGACTACTACTACCACTCCTGTGTTGGTTACCGTCACCAAGCAAGCAGATAAGAATGTGTTGGGTACATACAGTAGGCCTACTGTTAACTTTAGGGTACCTTTAGTTCAGTCATTCTCTTCCATGGCAGTATAGATGAAATAGATTGACAATGGATGACACTTTTAAAGAGGCATTTTAAAGCTGTGTTGTGTTATTTGTATATCTTCCCCAAGATTCAAGTGATAAATTAATAAGCTTTAATTTGAAGCATTTTGATTGGCTACTCTCTCCTGACCAGGAAGGAAGCATTTGGAGGAACTGGCTGCATTCCAATATACCACTTCATTACCTTGTCATATCTCCTTGGAGATAGGATACAGGAAATTAAGTCACTTTAAAGTATTGGAACGTAACCATTAACTCAACACTGTTCGGTCGGGCTGTGAGAATCCAACGTATAAATAATAACAGTTAGAGGGTGTTTGTGGGCCATTATAACTCTGTTCAATACAGTGTTCCTATTAAGGGGATACATGGGCTACTGGGCACCTCCATTACAAATCAAGACACCCCTATAATTGTTAAGACATTAACTGTGGAGTGGACACCACCAGAAGTGTTAAGACATCAATGTTGACACTCCTTAAAAGTGTTCAAATATAACACTGTTTATAGGGCAACCCTAAATCTAAACCTAACACTAGAACCATTGTGTGATTGCAACCTTGCGTGTGTGGCTGTTGTAACACGCCCCTCTCTGCTCCACCTTGCCCCTGACCCTGCCCTGACCCCTGACCCCGCCCTGCCCTCTAGTAGGCATGGCTCCTGGGAGGGTGATCTGGAACCTGACGGTGGAGCCTAACAGTAACTACGCTAACGTCAGCTGGAACCACAACTTCCCGGCCGGCAGCAGCGAGTTCCAGCTAGAGTTCACACTGGACAGTAAGATCCACACCCAGAGTTTGTGTCAGATCTTAGGCTGGACAATAAGAAAAGACCCAGAGTTTGTGTCAGAGCTTCTGGACGATAAGAAAAGACCCAGAGTTTGTGCCAGAGCTTCTGGACAATAAGAAAAGACCCAGAGTTTGTGCCAGAGCTTCTGGACAATAAGAAAAGACCCAGAGTTTGTGCCAGAGCTTCTGGACAATAAGAAAAGACCCAGAGTTTGCAACAGGCAAACTGAATGAAGCCCAGCTCAAGTATTTGAAAGGATTTGACATACGTATTTAACCCAAGTCTGATCGTATCAAACCTACAGTTCAAAATCCATCCTAGGCAGAAATGTCAATAGTGAAGTCAGTCTTCAGACGGTCTATCTCTGTAGAGATACTGGGATTTCTGAAAGGAACTGTGAGGCATTCCTGGGACAGGGACATACACCAACCTGGCTTTATTAAAGAAATCCAGTTCAATTCATGACAGCCCTTCACTCTAGTAGAGAAATTAGGCTTTTATTCGGAGGCGAGTCATGCAACATTCTCATTTCTATTCATAAAACTCCCTGTCGGGCAGAAAGGTAATTTCTGAGGAGAAACTCAACTCTCATTTCATTTTGCGTCAGCAGAGCTGAGTTCAGTTACCTATATAAGTCAGATTATGATCTGTATAGCTGTAGATAGGGTGAAACATATAATATATTCTGTGGCATTTCTATTTGAATAATGAATGTGTTATTTTATAGCACCCCCAGTTTCTATTGCACTTTGATTGGAGATTTTGTTTCTTTCCCTACCAAAGGCTTTGTTGAATTTGTCTTTCATTGTGCCCATGTTCATTTTCTCTCTCTGGTTGTAACAGATGTTCCTTTCAGAAAGTGTTTTGTGAGGCTGAGGGAGAAATGAAGAAAGATCTTAGTCAGTAGAGAGAGAGAGAGACCCTCTAGAATTATGTTTTATTTTACTAGGGGGAAATACACTGTTTAATGAAAAACATTCCTTAAAACTATGCTACCTACTACAGTAAAGTGATGGTACAGTGATGTCAGTATATGTGTGTGTTCAATCATCCTGATTGCAAAAGAGAAGCTGTTAGGGTGATGTTCACATGGGCCGAGCATGTGCACACATTGCTCTGTATTTGCTCTATATCAATTACATAGTTATAACACACAAGATACCTAACTCTGTCCCTCTCTACTGCTCTTTGTCTATCTCTCTATTTGGAAATGTGTCTTTGTATTGTTCATGTCCATAGTGTATTATGATGTCCTAACTCCCCATACTATGCTGTGTGCATCCTTCATGGCTACTACCCAGTATCACGCTGCTGCATCACCTGGCTGTCTGCATGTCTGGCTATCTGGCTCGCTGTCAGGCTGTATGATTGGTTGTGTGGCTTGTTTTTCTATTGACTGTTTAGAGTAAGAGTCAGGGGGAGGGAGGATGATGTCTTTATTCACACACACAGACACACATACACATTTTACATTGACATTTTAGTCATTTAGCAGACGCTCTTATCCAGAGCAGCTTACAGTAGTGAGTGCATAAATGTTCATACTTTTCACACACACACATGTTTTGGATTCAAGGCTGTACACTGAGTCAAATAGCATAGATATGTTTTAGATATTCCGCTTTAGCTTAATCTTTTAATGGTTGTAAGGAATGTGTTTTTATATTAGTCAGATATTCTTCCCAGTTATTGATTTTCGCAGTGCTTCAGGTCTGTTTGTTGCCTAGTCAAGGTTGCATTTTTTTCATATTATTTGGTTTAGTTGCTTCAGAGGCTGCAGTGGATGTACCAAGCTTTGGAATGATTTTGGGTGATTGCTGTATGATGATTGCTATATGATGATGTCACCCTTTCAGGGGGTCAAAGGTCATAGCATGGTGCATGATGTCACCAGTTTGCGTGCTCCTCCAGCCATCACCGACCCATGCCCACAGCTTGGTGATGTCAGAAGGGGCACGTCTTTCCATTGGAAAGATGCTCCGTTTAGTTTTCACCATTGGTGTGTTTTTTTTATTGAGATGAGTGGAGGACTATGGGTAATTGAGACATAGAGCTTCTCTACCCTCCCGCCCTTTGCTATTCCAGAATACTGAGTGTTCCATAATGGTCAATTTAAATTCCACCAGTCCGGGTAATACAACTAACTTACTGCTGCCAATTCAGCGGGAGTTTAGTTTCGTAAAACTTTGATGTCCACAGTATTATAGTAGCCTGAAGGAACACCTGCTCTCTAGCTCTACCTCTTTTCTCCTGCTCCACAAAATGTCCCCTTTTTAGATTAGATTTCTCAGGAGAATTATCCCCCAGGAGAAAAATGTGGTTTCACTTCCACTGAGAAGAAAATGAACAAAAAATAATCCTCTAAAAGCCATCTTTTAAAAGCTTTCTTAAAGAGCTGCAGCTCTTCTATTCACTTTCAATCTCTATTAATTATATTAACATAGCTGTATACGTGACATTGGCTTAGAAATGTAGCTATTAATTTCAACGAGGTTGTTAATGAGTGGTGGATGTTGGAGGGAGGGTGTGTGTGCTGCATTGGGTCAGTCTCAATTTACTCCAGTAGCCCACCATCTCATAGCGGGAGAAACAGTCCCACCCATGTCGCATTACTGCGTCTTACCCTTCCTATTTACCTCATTACCATGGTAGCCTGGCCCCGCCCCACGACGGAGTATGATTGGCGCCTCTCTTGTGTTCCAAGGCAACGGCAGTCTGTCAAGCGTACCGGTGAACCAGCCGCCCATTAAGCTGGCGGGGCTGATCGAAGGGGCCAAGTACCGCCTGAGGGTGTACTCCAATGAATACCACAGCATCTCCAGCAATGTTGTCACCTTTGAGACCAGCGCAGGTGAGACTCCACCTGCCAGGTGAGGAGGGATGGTACATGGCCAGATCAGGTCATGTCAGATAGCCTGGGGGCCAGTCTGTCTGCATCAGCCCAGTCTAGGAGACTATAGCAGGCTAATGCAGAGACATTACAGCACCCAGGCTACAGAGACCCCATGGATACCCCAGTTCCCTAACAATGAGGTCTGTTGGGTCAGATCAGATCACTGTGGTGCTCCTGCCGGGTGAAAGAAGGCTAGAAGTTGATATAGCTCCAAGGAGTTGGTATTGAAGTGTTGGCAAGACTTCCCCCGTCCATCAACCAATTATTCAACTGTAGTGTAGAGGGACTGTTTTGTCTCTGTTCTTTAGAATGGGTAGTTCTGAATTTCGGGGAATATCGATTTAGCTCTTTGTGATGTCTTGATTTTCCGTAGGAGTGTATTCCATGTGGTAAGAATAATCCAATGAAATGTAATGTATGATAAGTTCATGTGTAAACAAGTCATATACAATGGATCTTATATATACCTATACTTTATCTTTCTATCTTTGCTTTGTTCTGAGCAAATTCACTTTGCCAATTTCACACTTGGTTAATTGGTTAGTAATTATAAGCTATTAATGTCATTTTTAAAACATATATTTAGGCCTGCATTGTGTTACAGAAGTGTTTTCCAACCTGTAATGAAGTACCTTTATGTGGTTGGTTTATTTTAGAGTTAGATAGAAGACTGGTGTCAAATAACAATACTTTTTTTTGTGGTTGGTTGCTTTGAAAATTTGCTGTGCATGATATTATGTTCCTTCTGTTAAAATACCTAGGTTTTGTGTTCCAATTGACAAATTGACCCAACGCATATTGTAGAGTTGCATATTCTGCTTTATTTTGAAATGAAAAATCCACTTTTTCTCTACTAATGTCATTGTCAAGGTGTGGGGAAATGAAGATAAATAATGTATTATTCAGATAGATTTACTGGGATACCATCTAGAGTTGTAGCTCTGTGTTGAGGGAATACTAGAATGCTGTGATGATGGTTTGGGTTGTCATACATTCTGTGGTTGCTGTATCTTGATTTGAACAGCCTTGGATGAGGTCAGATTGTCGGATGTTTTGAACTGCCTTGGATGAGGTCAGATTGTCGGATGTATTGCCAGTGACTCATTTGGGGCAAAACAGTCTCTTATTATTTTTCTCCCTCTCTCTGTGTGTCTCATCTCTCCCACCTGTGTGTGTGTGTGTGTGTGTGTGTGTGTGTGTGTGTGTGTGTGTGTGTGTGTGTGTGTGTGTGTGTGTGTGTCAATGTGTTTGCCTGCTGACAGCCTACATTAAAGACCAGGTGGACATTGCTACCCAAGGCTGGTTCATCGGGCTGATGTGTGCCATCGCTCTCATCATCCTCATCCTTCTCATTGTCTGCTTCATCAAGAGGAGTCGCGGAGGCAAATATCCAGGTAAGGGTTAACACAAGGGAGTTGAATATCCAGGTAAGGGTTAACACAAGGGAGTTGAATATCCAGGTAAGGGTTAACACAAGGGAGTTGAACATCCAGGTAAGGGTTAAAGGCCCAGTGCAGTCAAAAACATGATTTTCCTGTGTTTTATACACTGAACAAAAATATAAATGCAACATGTAAAGTGTTGGTCCCATGTTTAATAAGCTGAAATAAAAGATCCCAGAAATGTTCCATATGCACAAAAAGCTTATTTCTCTCAAATGTTGTGCGCAAATGTGTTTACATCCCTGTTAGTGAGCATTTCTCCTTTGCTAAAATAATCCATCCACCTGACAGGTGTGGCATATCAAGAAGCTGATTAAACAGCATGATCATCAAAACAGGTGCACCTTGTGCTGGGGACAATAAAAGGCCACTCTAAAATGTGCGGTTTGGTCACACAACACAATGCCACAGATGTCTCAAGTTTTGCTGACTGCAGGAATGTCCACCAGAGCTGTTGCCAGATAATTGAATGTTCATTTCTCTACCATAAGCCATCTCCAACGTTGATTCAGGGAATTTGCCAGTACGTCCAACCGGCCTCACAACCGCAGACCACGTGTAACCACGCCAGCCCAGACAAGCTGCCATCAGAGTGCCCCATGGTGGCTGTGGGGTTATGGTATGGGCAGGCATAAGCTACGGACAACGAACACAATTGCATTTTATCGATAGAAATTTGAATGCACAAAGATACCGTGACGAGATCCTGAGGCCAATTGTCGTTCCATTCATCCGCCGCCACATGCTTCAGCATGATAATGCACAGAACCATGTCGCAAGGATCTGTACACAATTCCTGGCAGCTGAAAATGTGTCAGTTCTTCCATGGCCTGCATACTCACCAGACATGTCACCCACTGAGCAAGTTAGGGATGTACTGGATCGACGTGTACGACAGCGTGTTCACGTTACCGTCAATATCCAGCAACTTCGCACAGCCATTGAAGAGGAGTGTGACAACATTCCACAGGCCACAATCAACAGCCTGATCAACTCTATGCGAAGGAGATGTGTCGCGCAGCATGAGGCAAATGGTGGTCACACCAGAAACTGATCCATGCCCCTACCTTTTTTTAAAGGTATCTGTGATCAACAGATGCATATCTGTATTCCCAGTCATGTGAAATCCATAGATTAGGGTCTAATGAATTCATTTCAATTGACTGATTTCCTTATATGAACTGTAACTCAGTAAAATCTTTGAAATTGTTGCATGTTGCGTTTATAGTGTATATATATTTCTACACTATGAGGTTGGAATAATACTGTGAAATTGTGAAAATTATGATAATGCTCTTATACTGTAAGAGCTGTTTGAAAAGAACGGCTGAAATTTCAGGCAGTAAATTAATTAATAGACCAATACACGGGTTGGTTTTTTAGCCACACAACCGATGCGTGCGCAACTATGGGGCAAAACAGACGGGGTTGACTTAGATTGTTGACAAAATGTAAACTCATGCTCATGCAGCCAAACATGCCCTCGTAAAACTGACTATCCTACCGATCCTTGACTTCGGCGATGTCATTTACAAAATAGCCTCTAACACTCTACTCAGCAAATTGGATGTAGTCTATCACAGTGCCATCCGTTTTGTCACCAAAGCCCCATATACTACCCACCATTGTGACCTGTACGCTCTCGTTGGCTGGCCCTCACTACATATTCGTCACCAAACCCACTGGCTCCAGGTCATCTATAAATCACTGCTAGGCAAATCCCCGCCTTATCTTAGCTCATTGGTCACCGTAGCAACACCCACCCGTAGTATGCGCTCCAGCAGGTATATCTCACTGGTCATCCCCAAAGCCAACACCTCCTTTGGCCGCCATTCCTTCCAGTTCTCTGCTGCCAATGACTGGAACGAACTGCAAAAAATATCTGACTTTAAGCATCAGTTGTCAGAGCAGCTTACCGATCACTGCACCTGTACACAGCCCATCTGTAATTAGCCCACCCAACTACCTCATCCCCATATTGTTATTTATTTTGCTCATTTGCACCCCAGTATCTCTATTTACACATCATCTTCTGCACATCGTTCACTCCAGTGTTAATACTAAATTGTAATTATTTTGCACTATGGCCTATTTATTGCCTTACATCCATAACTACTACATTTGCACACACTGTATATAGATTTCATATTGTGTTATTGACTGTATGTTTTGTTTATCCCATATGTAACTCTGTGTTGTTGTTTTTATCGCACTGCTTTGCTTTATCTTGGCCAGGTCGCAGTTGTAAATGAGAACTTGTTCTCAACTGGCTTACCTGGTTAAATAAAGGTAAAATAAAATATTTATTCTCCAATATTTATATAAAACATAAATGGCTTGATTACCAACAATGACGAGACTGCCTACAGGGAGGAGGTGAGGGCTCTGGGAGTGTGGTGCCAGGAAAATAACCTCTCACTCAGCGTCAACAAAACAAAAGAGATGATTGTGGACTTCAGGAAACCCCCCTATCCACATTGACGGGACCACAGTGGAGAAGGTGGAAAGCTTCAAGTTCCTTGGCGTACACATCACTGACAAACTGAAATGGTCCACCCACGCAGACAGTGTGGTGAAGAAGGCGCAACAGAGCCTCTTCAACCTCAGGAGGCTGAAGAAATGTGGCTTGGCACCTAAAACCCTCACAAACTTTTACAGATGCACAATTGAGAGCATCCTGTCGGGCTGTATCACCGCCTGGTACGGCAACTGCACCGCCCGCAACCACAAGGCTCTCCAGTGGGTGGTGTGGTCTGCCGAACGCATTACCAGGGGCAAACTACCCGCCCTCCAAGACACCTACAGCACCCGATGTCACAGGAAGGCCAAAAAGATCATCAAGGACATCAACCACCCGAGCCACTGCCTGTTCACCCTGCCATCATCCATTTACATTTTAGTCATTTAGCAGACACTCTTATCCAGAGCGACTTACAGGAGCAATTAGGGTTAAGTGCCTTGCTCAAGGGCATATCGGCAGATTTTTCACCTAGTCGGCTCGGGGATTAGAACCAGCAACCTTTCGGTTACTGGCACAACGCTCTTAACCACTAAGCTACCTGCTAAATCCAGAAGGCGAGGTCAGTACAGGTGCATCAAAGCTGGGACCGAGAGAATGAAAAACAGCTTCTATCTCAAGGCCATCAGACTGTTAAATAGCCATCACTAGCACATTAGAGGCTGCTGTTGCCTATTGAAATCACTGGCCACTTTAAGAAATGGAACACTAGTCACTTTAATTATGTTTACATATCTTGCACTACTCATCTCATATGTATATACTGTATTATTTTCTATAATATTCTACTGTATCTTAGTCCATGCCGCTCTGTCATTGCTTGTCCATATATGTATTCTTAAACTCCATGCCTTACTAGATTTGTGTGTGTTGGGTATATGTTGTGAAATTGTTAGATATTACTTGTTAGATATTACTGCACTGTCGGAGCTAGAAGCACAAGCATTTCACTACACCCGCAATAACATCTGCTAACCACGTGTATGTGACAAATAACATTTGATTTGATTTGAAATACATTGTCACAGTTGTTGGCTAGCTAGCTAGCGAGTTTAGCCATATTAGCATTGACTTAAAATCAGTCAAAACACCTCAAAACAAGACAGGGTATCAAGAAGAAGATGAAACTAGCTGAAACGAGTCACCTATGATTCCCCACATGGCAGTTTCTTGTCATTGTTGGTAGCTATCTGGCCATCTAGAATCGCAACAACTCTTGAACCCCATTGAAGCGTGTGCATCGTTTTTGTGAAGTTATTAGCTAAACCATCTATAAGAAAGACAGTTCCAAACCTCTCTGCCAATAACAGTTAGTTTTCAGTTTTCCCCTCCCCACTCAGACCACTCCCAGACAGTCCTAGCAAAATTCTTGCTTGAGAAATTGATCTTTGCTAAGAAGCTATTTTTGTTTATTTTTGACCATTTTAATTGAAAACAATCATACAACGGTACTTAATTGTTAGCCAGAAATTATTTGATATTGAGATAAAAACAGCTGCATTGGATTTAAAAAAAAAAAATGTATTTTTAATTCAACCTTTATTTAACTAGGCAAGTCAGTTAAGAACAGATTCTTATTTACAATGACGGCCTACCAAAAGGCAAAAGGCCTCCTGCGGGGACGGGGGCTGGGATTAAAAATTAAAATATAGGATAAAACACACATCATGACAAGAGAGACAATACAACACTACATAAAGAGAGACCTAAGAGAACAACATAGCATGGCAGCAACACATGACAACACAGCATGGTAGCAACACCACATGACAACAACATGGTAGCAACACAACATGGCAGCAGCACAACATGGTAGCAGCACAAAACATGGTACAAACATTATTGTGCACAGACAACAGCACAAATTTAACACAGGGTGGTCCAGTATCCAAGTAAGGGTTAACACAGGGGGTTAAAATCAAATCAAATCTAGTAACCAGTAACCAGGTAAGGGTTACTAGAGAGGGTTAAGTATTAGGTTAAGGGTTAACACGAGGGGGGGTTGAAATACCCTGGTAGGGGTTAGTAGGAGGGCATGTGTCCAGTTAAGTCACAAGATGGTGGCATGTTCAGTATAATCATGTATCTATCTGTTTGATCTCTTTTTAGTACGAGACAAAAAAGATCTCCCTCTGGAGGGAGTGGATCAGAAGGGAGAGGACGGATCATTTGACTACCAGTAAGTATTTCTCTTAAATATTACATATCTCTGGCCTACACATCTCTGGAACTATTTTGTGTGTTGCCACTGCAGGTCAGTGAATGATCTATTGCAACACTGTAGTAATTATGACTAGATCTGACTGTGTATCATCCAGGATTATACAGAGGAGGATTTAGTAGGCCTATGTCTGGTTTGTTTTCTTATGGAAGTGTATATTAGTGATGTAATTGTGAATATGAATATGTATGGTATTCAGGTTTAGGATTATGCATAGTAGTGTTTATTTGCATCTATTTAGGCATCAGGAATAAGGGACAGGGACTATTACGTTGGCCTTGAAATGTTTGTGAATGTTATTAAGATGTTCAAGACAGGAGTTACAGTATATACAGTGAGGGAAAACAATATTTGATCCCCTGCTGATTTTGTACGTTTGCCCACTGACAAAGAAATGATCAGTCTATAATTTTAATGGTAGGTTTATTTGAACAGTGAGAGACAGAATAACAACAACAAAATCCAGTAAAACGCATGTCAAAAATTTTATAAATAGATTTGCATTTTAATGAGGAAAATAAGTATTTGACCCCTCTGCAAAACATGACTTTGTACTTGGTGGCAAAACCCTTGTTGGCAATCACAGAGGTCAGACGTTTCTTGTAGTTGGCCACCAGGTTTGCACACATCTCAAGAGGGATTATGTCCCACTCCTCTTTGCAGATCTTCTCCAAGTCATTAAGGTTTCAAGGCTGACATTTGGCAACTCAAACCTTCAGCTCCCTCCACAGATTTTCTATGGGATTAAGGTCTGGAGACTGGCTAGGCCACCCCAGGACCTTAATGTGCTTCTTCTTGAGCCACTCCTTTGTCGCCTTTGCCGTGTGTTCTGGGTCATTGTCATGCTGGAATACCCATCCACGACCCATTTTCAATGCCCTGGCTGAGGGAAGGAGGTTCTCACCCAAGATTTGACGGTACATGGCCCCGTCCATCGTCCTTTTGATGCGGTGAAGTTGTCCTGTCCCCTTAGCAGAAACCCCCCCCCCCCAAAGCATAATGTTTCCACCTCCATGTTTGACGGTGGGGATGGTGTTCTTGGGGTCATAGGCAGCATTCCTCCTCCTCCAAACACGGCGAGTTGAGTTGATGCCAAAGAGCTCGATTTTGGTCTCATCTGACCACAACACTTTCACCCAGTTCTCCTCTGAATCATTCAGATGTTCATTGGCAAACTTCAGACGGGCCTGTATATGTGCTTTCTTGAGCTGGGGGACCTTGCGGGCGCTGCAGGATTTCAGTCCTTCACGGCGTAGTGTGTTACCAATTGTTTTCTTGGTGACTATGGTCCCAGCTGCATTGAGATCATTGACAAGATCCTCCCGTGTAGTTCTGGGCTGATTCCTCACCGTTCTCATGGTAGAGCACGGCGCTTGTAACGCCAAGGTAGTGGGTTCGATCCCCGGGACCACCCATACACAAAAATGTATGCACGCATGACTGTAAGTCGCTTTGGATAAAAGCGTCTGCTAAATGGCATATTATTATTATTATTATTATTATCATTGCACTAGCTGAGCTGAGCTGGGAGGAGGTCGTCGGGTAAGCTTGGCGTCGGGTAAGTTTGGCTTTATACATAGCTTGGGCTTTGTCGAGTAAGGCTTAAACTATGTATTTAGATTGTAGTTAGGTATTGTAGGTAGGTATCGTGGGTTGTTGTAGGTAGTTGTTGTATGTAATTATTGTAGGTTAGTATTGTATTCGGCGGTGCCGGGTGTAGCACGAAGCTAGCTAGCTAGCTAACTCACCACCTGGACTAGCTGGCGAGTAGCTATTAGCAACGGTATAGTTGTTTCACGCCTGCGAGTGCCTGTAATTACGCCAGCTGGCTGCCTACAATGATTACATACAATAACTGCCTACCATTCAGCTGTTTTCTAACCTCATTGTCTGAACCGTTAACGTTAGGTAGCAAGTGGCTACTGTGCTTGAAAATTAGCAAGCTTGTTGCAACCTGGATATCTACTTGTAAACAATAGCTGGAACGACCGAGCGAACAGACGCGAACTGGCTGAGTCAATTCAGTGGCTAGCTTTGCACTTGGCTAGCTAACAGTAGCTGCTAGGGGTAAGTCATAACCTACACTTGTGTTTTGTTTTTTACATATTGATAGCCCGAGTCGCTCAAGGAATTCGGGACATGGGTGACTAGTTAACGTTAGTTTGGCTCTCTCTGTGTGTTCGTGCCGTGAAAGGAGGGGTTCTTCTTTGTCTGAAAGCAATGGCTAGCTAGTTTGCTAACTATTCTAGCTAACTAACTGGCTGAATAAGTTGACGACAGACTCGCTCAAGCTGTCGGGACTAACCCACAACGTTAGACACGGACACTAACGATCTGCTTGTGTGTTGATACACTGGTGGTTGTTGTCGCTGAGTATTGGCGCTAAACCCTGCTGCTGGAGACCGGCATGCTAGCTGGCTGTGGCGTCTTATGACGAGGTGCCCGGACGTTTTTCACGGAATAATACTGCACCTAGTTAGCTAGCTGAATAAACTAGGTTAGTCTATTCCTAGAAAACATTGAACCGCTGTAGTTTACAACAATTATAGTTTCTGAGGTGGAAGTTGGGAGAGTTATATTTGGGAGTTGTGGTGAGGGAGGCCCCGCTCTCTCCTTTCCCAGATGTTTAGTTCATTTTATTCCGATCTCCTCTGCATTATTGTAGCCATCTGCTGCAGCCTGTCAACTATGCCTCTGCCTATCCCTGTTCTCTCCTCTCCGCACAGGCTACACAAACGCCTCACACCGCGTGGCTGCTGCCTCTCTAACCTGGTGGTCCCTGCACGCACGACCCACGTGGAGTTCCAGGTCTCAGGCAGCCTCTGGAACTGCCGTTCTGCTGCCAACAAGGCAGACTTCATCCCAGCCTATGCTACCCTCCAGTCCCTCGACTTCTTGGCGCTGACGGAAACATGGATTACCACTGAAAACACTGCTACTCCTGCTGCTCTCTCCTCGTCTGACCATGTGTTCTCGCATACCCCGAGAGCATCTGGTCAGCGGGGTGGTGGCACAGGAATCCTCATCTCTCCCAAGTGGACATTCTCAATTTTTCCCCTGACCCATCTGTCTATCTCCTCATTTGAATTCCATGCTGTCACAGTCACTAGCCCATTTAAGCTTAATATCCTTGTCATCTATCGCCCTCCAGGTTCCCTTGGAGAGTTCATCAATGAGCTTGACGCCTTGATAAGTTCCTTTCCTGAGGATGGCTCACCCCTCACAGTTCTGGGGGATTTCAACCTCCCTACGTCTACATTTGACTCATTTCTCTCTGCCTCCTTCTTTCCACTCCTCTCCTCTTTTGACCTCACCCTCTCACCGTCCCCCCCTACTCACAAGGCAGGCAATACGCTTGACCTCATCTTTACTAGATGCTGTTCTTCTACTAATCTCACTGCAACTCCCCTCCAAGTCTCCGACCACTACTTTGTATCCTTTTCTCTCTCCCTCTCCTCCAACACTACTCACTCTGCCCCTACACAGATGGTAATGCGCCGTCGCAACCTTCGCTCTCTCTCTCCCGCTACTCTCTCCTCTTCCATCCTATCATCTCTTCCCTCTGCTCAATCCTTCTCCCTCCAATCTCCTGATTCTGCCTCCTCAACCCTCCTCTCCTCCCTTTCTGCATCCTTTGACTCTCTATGTCCCCTATCCTCCCGGCCGGCTCGGTCCTCCCCTCCAGCTCCGTGGCTTGATGACTCATTGCGAGCTCACAGAACAGAGCTCCGGGCAGCTGAGCGGAAATGGAAGAAAACTAGACTCCCTGCAGACCTGGCATCTTTTCACTCCCTCCTCTCTACATTTTCTTCATCTGTTTCTGCTGCTAAGGCCACTTTCTACCACTCTAAATTCCAAGCATCCGCCTCTAACCCTAGGAAGCTCTTTGCCACATTCTCCTCCCTGCTGAATCCCCCGCCCCCCCCCCCCCCCCCCTCCCTCTCTGTGGATGACTTCGTCAACTATTTTGAAAAGAAGGTTGACGACATCCGATCCTCGTTTGTTAAGTCAAATGACACTGCTGGTCCTGCTCACACTGCCCTACCCTATGCTTTGACTTCTTTCTCCCCTCTCTCTCCAGATAAAATCTTGCGACTTGTGACGGCAGGCCGCCCAACAACCTGCCCGCTTGACCCTATCCCCTCCTCTCTTCTCCAGACCATCTCCGGTGACCTTCTCCCTTACCTCACCTCGCTGATCAACTCATATTTGACCGCTGGCTATGTCCCTTCCGTCTTCAAGAGAGCGAGAGTTGCACCCCTTCTCAAAAAACCAACACTCGATCCCTCCGATGTCAACAACTACAGACCAGTATCCCTTCTTTCTTTTCTCTCCAAAACTATTGAGCGTGCCGTCTTTAGCCAACTCTCTTGCTATCTCTCTCAGAATGACCTTCTTGATCCAAACCAGTCAGGTTTCAAGACTGGTCATTCAACTGAGACTGCTCTTCTCTGTGTCACAGAGGCTCTCCGCACTGCTAAAGCTAACTCTCTCTCCTCTGCTCTTGTCCTTCTAGACCTGTCTGCTGCCTTTGATACTGTGAACCATCAGATCCTCCTCTCCACCCTCTCCGAGCTGGGCATCTCCGGCGCAGCTCACTCTTGGATTGCGTCCTACCTGACCGGTCGCTCCTACCAAGTGGCGTGGCGAGAAGCTGTCTCCGCACCACGTGCTCTCACCACTGGTGTCCCCCAGGGCTCAGTTCTAGGCCCTCTCCTATTCTCGCTATACACCAAGTCACTGACGACACACAACTAATCTTCTCCTTTCCCCCTTCTGATAACCAGGTGGCGAATCGCATCTCTGCATGTCTGGCAGACATATCAGTATGGATGACGGATCACCACCTCAAGCTGAACCTCGGCAAGACGGAGCTGCTCTTCCTCTCGGGGAAGGACTGCCCGTTCCATGATCTCGCCATCACAGTTGACAACTCCGTTGTGTCCTCCTCCCAGAGTGCGAAGAGCCTTGGCGTGACCCTGGACAACACCCTGTCGTTCTCCGCTAACATCAAGGCGGTGACCCGATCCTGTAGGTTCATGCTCTACAACATTCGGAGAGTACGACCCTGCCTTACACAGGAAGCGGCACAGGTCCTAATCCAGGCACTTGTCATCTCCCGTCTGGATTACTGCAACTCGCTGTTGGCTGGGCTCCCTGCCTGTGCCATTAAACCCCTACAACTCATCCAGAATGCCGCAGCCCGTCTGGTGTTCAACCTTCCCAAGTTCTCTCACGTCACCCCGCTCCTCTGCACACTCCACTGGCTTCCAGTTGAAGCTCGCATCTGCTACAAGACCATGGTGCTTGCCTACGGAGCTGTGAGGGGAACGGCACCTCCGTACCCTCAGGCTCTGATCAGTCCCTACACCCAAACGAGGGCACTGCGTTCATCCACCTCTGGCCTGCTGGCTCCCCTACCTCTGCGGAAGCATAGTTCCCGCTCAGCCCAGTCAAAACTGTTCGCTGCTCTGGCACCCCAATGGTGGAACAAGCTCACTCACGACGCCAGGACAGCGGAGTCACTCACCACCTTCCGGAGACATTTGAAACCCCACCTCTTTAAGGAATACCTGGGATAGGATAAAGTAATCCTTCTACCCCCCCCCCCCCCCCCCCCCCCCTTTACTCCAACCAATAAATAAAAATAACATTGTAAAGTGGTTATCCCACTGGCTATAAGGTGAATGCACCTATTTGTAAGTCGCTCTGGATAAGAGCGTCTGCTAAATGACGTAAATGTAAATGTAAATGCAACTCCACAAGGTGAGATCTTGCATGGAGCCCCAGGCCGAGGGAGATTGACAGTTATTTTGTGTTTCTTCCATTTGTGAACAATCGCACCAACTGTTGTCACCTTCTCACCAAGCTGCTTGCCGATGGTCTTGTAGCCCATTCCAGCCTTGTGTAGGTCTACAATCTTGTCCCTGACATCCTTGGAGAGTTCTTTGGTCTTGGCCATGGTGGAGAGTTTGGAATCTGATTGATTGATTGCTTCTCTGGACAGGTGTCTTTTTAGGAGCACTCCCTTTAAGAGTGTGCTCCTAATCTCAGCTCGTTACCTGTATAAAAGACACCTGGGAGCCAGAAATCTTTCTGATTGAGAGGGGGTCAAATACTTATTTCCCTCATTAAAGTGCAAATTAATTTATAACATTTTCTGGATTTTTTTGTTGTTATTCTGTCTCTCACTGTTCAAATAAACCTACCATTAAAATTATAGAATTATCATTTCTTTGTCAGTGGGCAAACTTACAAAATCAGTAGGGGATCAAATACCTTTTTCCCTCACTGTAGGAGTTAGTATGTCTTAGGTCTGGTAATGCATGTTTTCAGTATGTATTTGTTGGCTAGTGATTGTCTTTTGCTCATTCCAGGTCCCACTGATCTGTCTCCACTCATTCTTCTGTGGGGAATGAGAATCTCTCCATCTGTCCACCTTTACTGTTTAATTATCCCTCTAACTTAACCGTCAAGTCAGCAGTAACACACTCCAACCGATTACTCACTCTAATCATTGTGGTCCTACTTTATATTGAAATGGTGCTAAAAACCAATGTCCTTACATGGTACAGTAGTTACATAGGCATACACAGTGTATGTACACACTTAAAAGTGTAGCAACTGTTTGCCATGGTGATTATTGTATTACACTCTGCAGGGAGTCTTCAGAACTTTAGAACTTCAGAAGAAGAGGAAGGCAGCATCGCATTAGTGGAAACCAAGACTGTTCTCAGGGCAGGCCTGGTTGTAACTAGATATGTTCGAGTCACGTCGGGGATGCCCTAACCCTTACCCTTTTCCTAACCTTAACCGAATGATCCTAACCTGACACGTTAATTCTCCTAACCTGCTGAGTAAGTTCTCCTGACCTTCTATGAAAAGTCACTAATGCTAGTCAAAACTGGCAGACTTGCCATGAAAACAGTCTTGCTTTCCACTAATGTGATACAGCAAGATGAAGTGCCCCTGTACTCTGCCCCCTGTAACACCACACAACCAGTAACCCAAACCCCTAACTGTTCTTATAAACCACAAATGAAACATGGCACCTTAATTTACCCAAACTGAGCAGGTTCTACCCAGACCAGTTACAATGGATTAGGAATGTGCAGCGCATTCGGAAAGTATTCAGACCCCTTTACTTTTTCCACATTTTGTTACATTACAACCTTATTCTAAAATAGATTAAATAAAACAATTTCCTCATCAATCTACACACAATACCCCATAATGACAAAGCAAAAACATTTCCTTCTTAATGCGTTTGAGCCAATCAGTTGTGTTGTGACAAGGTGGTGGTGAAAAAATGCTTCACAGAGTTCAAGTCACAGACACATCTCAGCGCATCCAACAAGTGCTAAGCATATGTGGGAACTCCTTCAAGACTTTTGGAAAAATAATTCCAGGTGAAGCTGGTTGAGAGAATGCCAACAGTGTGCAAAGCTGTCATCAAGGCAAAGGGTGGCTATTTGAAGAATATAAAATATAAAATATTTTTTGATTTGTGTAACACTTTTTTGGTTACTACATGAATCCATATGTGTTCTTTCATAGTTTTGATGACTTCAATATTATTCTACAATGTTGAAAATAGTAAAAATAAAGAAAAACCCTTGAATGAGTAGGTGTGTCCAAACTTTTGACTGGTACTGTAAGTATTCAGACCCTTTGCTATGAGACTTGAAATTGAGCTCAGGATGATCAATGGAAACAGGATGCACCTGAGCTCAATTTCGAGTCTCATAGCAAAGGGTCTGAATACTTATGTAAATAAGGTATTTCTGTTTTTTATTTGTTATAAATTTACAAACATTTCTGAAAACCTGTTTTCACTTTGACATTATGGAGTATTGTGCGTAGATTGATGAGGGAAAAAAACGATTTAATCCATTTTAGAAAAAGGCTGTAATGTAACAAAATGTGGAAAAGGTCAAGGGGTCTGAGTACTTTCCGAATGCACTGTATATTTAGAGTAATTTGAAGAGATTCTATTCGTTTTGCGTTTGGCTGTCAAAAGCATTCCGACCATGAAAAATGGAGGAAATAATTTGAACAGTGTTGTTTTAGGTGTTTATTCTGCTTGACAGCACAGTGCTGTGGTTTTAAAGTGTTAAGTGTTTTAAAGTACTTGCGTGCAGTGTAATGTTCAAAGGTGTTATCAACAATTATCACGTGTGTGAGCAGTGCTCTGCAGAAATATTTACAACTGTGTGAGGCATGTCCACAATGGAAAAGCTAAGCAAGTCTGCTCTCGTCTCTAATCAATGTTTATTAATATTACCCTCTTTCCTACAGTGAAGGTCATTGCTAAGCTCACACTCTGACACACTCAATAGCACTGGGACTAATCCCTCTGTCTACCCAACTCACACGTTATGATTGTGTGTGTGTGTGTGTGTGCGTGCGTGTCTGGGCATTTCTGTTTGTGTAAGTGTGTGCGTGAGTGTGTGAGTGTGTGTGTGTTCGTGTGTCAGTGCATACACGCGTGTATGTGCATGTGTGTGTGTGTGTACGTGTGTGTGTGTATTCTCTGGCTCTCATATGCTTGTGTGTCACCTGGAGGATGTCTCTCCTTCCTTCCTTCCTTCCTTCCTTCCCTCCCTCTCTTTACCCTCTCTCCTATCCTATCTCCTCCCTCTTCTCCATGCTGAAATGGTCGTCTCTCCCTGACAGGAATGAAAATGAGAAGGAAAACGAGAACAGGTACTTTGGTTTCGGCATCCACCTCCCGGCCTGCGCATGTCAGGGGCAGATACTGAACTCCCCTTCAGACTCATGCGGGTTTGGGGGTGAGATTGGGGGATGAGGAAGCGAGGCAGTGACTGTGATGCTAGATCATGGTTTATGAACTACTTCACCCTCCTCCCTTTGCACTGCTGTTTCTGTGGTGGAAGGGGAAGGTGGGAGATGGGGGGTGGGGAGGGTCGAGGTGGGCATGGTACACCAGCCAATCAGAGATCTCGGTTCCCGGGGGTGTTAAACATGTGATCAGGGCACAGCTGAGACTCTCTGGGTAGTGTAAACCCACAGAGAGAACTGAGAAGAGTGTTGTTTCTACACACAGCTAGAACTCACTTGACGTAAATAATATGTCGCTTACTCTTTTGGTCTATAGTGTACTTCCATAAAAGTGGGTAAATCTGGGTCAACTATCACTTCAATGCAGATTAGTGAATAGGACAATCCTACTTTAGGACTAAACCATGTTACAGATGTAGGATTTTAATTTGATCACCCTGTTGCAGGATAACTTTCCTGCAATGCAGGAAATGTTAAACTTGTAGTGTATTTAGGTTTCTTAAATTTGTAATTTCCACTTTGAAATGTCAGACTTGATTTTCGCTTACGAAAATTGTATTAACACCTACAAAAATGTCCATTAAATATAATCCACATAATAATTCACATTGTTGTTACTGCAGGATTATTTTCCTGCTGTAGCAAACCGGCTCTAATTAAGATCCAACATCTGTATGCTTCACCAGGCTACAATCCATAAACACTAGAGCTAAACCTAGCCTAAAGCTATGCATTAACCTTGGTCTAGCCTTGAGGCAAAGGTCATCAATTGACCTGGCTATCTTTGGCCTGGCCATGGCTGTGTTCCACACCTGCTACCTGTGTTCCACATCTGCTACCTATGTTCCACACCTGCTACCTCACAAGCAGAACAACAGCCATTACAATAGGCAGAATATCTTAAGCCCAGAACTGTTCTGGACCTGTTCAATACAGGCCTCTGGTGGAGAGTTGTCTTGGCAGGGACCTGTCCTATCCATGGGTGGTTCAGGGTTAAGAGCAGTGGGTGTTCAATATGGGGAAAGAGAGGCTAATCACAGCTGTGGTTTAAGCATCGCCTCAGGCTCATGATATTCAAGTGAGAAAAACATATTAGTGTTGAAGGCTCAGCTGGTGTTCAGACTGTGAGCCAAGGCTCTGCACTGTGAAAACCTATTCTCATTACCAGTCTGCAGAATATCACAGAGTTAGAAAACCAGCTTTTCTGAAGTGTCAATTTAATCAGGTAATAAACTGTCAGGTAAATAAATCAAGGTGATTTGCAGATTAGGGGAGAGAGATCGATAGAGAGAGAGCGAGAGAGAGAGAGAGAGAGAGAGAGAGACAAACACCATTGTAAATACAACCCATATTTATGTTTATTTATTTTCCCATTTGTACTTTAACTATTTGCACATTGTTACAACACTGTATATATACATAATATGACATTTGAAATGTCTTTATTCTTTTGAAACTTCTGAGTGTAATGTTTACTGTTAATATTTATTGTTTATTTCACTTTTGTTTACTATCTACTTCACTTGCTTTGGCAATGTTAACACACGTTTCCCATGCCAATAAAGCCCTTAAATTGAAATTGAATTGAGAGAGAGAGAGTGAGGAGGCAGGAAGTTCTTATCTCTCCCCAGAGAGACGTCCAGTGTTTCAGGGATCAGGTAGGTGATTTAGTGATCGTGAAACTGATCGTGAACACTCTGAGAGGTCCTGAACCCGTTTGTCTCTGTCGAGGGCTTGATTGTGTTTTTCCCCCCTTAAGGTTAATTGCTTTGTTTTTCTTCAGACGGCTGACATTTAACAGGCAGCAACCACCAGGTGCAGAGGTGAAGGCTGAGGACGGAAATCAATTTGGCTGATATGAGAGGGAGGGAGGGAGGTTGGAGTGAGGGTTTCAGAGTAGATGGAGTGAGGGTTTAGGGAGGAAGGTTGGAAAGTCTTCGTTCGAGTTTGACACCCTTGAGGAACCGATTTGGGGAATAAGCAACAGAGAACCTTTGCATCATGTGACGATAAAGCCTTTGTATGGAGATGAAATATCAACACCACTATGTTCTTTCCTTTTTCCTTCCTACATAACTTAGTCATCAATGATCATGTCCATCTCTGCATGTATTTTCTGTCCATTTTTCTGTCAAATCGACCTCAGCCTTCAAAAGATGTCGATAAAATAAACATGCAGGGGTAAACGTATGTTCTGGAGTAATTTTCATAATTGATGATGTTTGGTCCCTGTATCATAGGTTCAATGATTTTACAGTTCATTCTCTGCATGCATGTGACTCTATGGCAGGGGTGGCCAATCCTGATCCAGGAACACTGCAGTGAGTGCAAGCTTTCGTTCCAGCCAAGCTTAAACACACTTGATTTAACATTCTATGGTTCTAGATTAAAGACCATGATTAGTTGATTGTTTCAAGCTGGGCTGGAGCAAAAGCCTAGGTCCAAAAGGCATCTTAACAGCTTCAACCCCCAAGCCATAAGACTCCTGAACAGCTAATCATGGCTACCCTGACTATTTGCACTGCCCCCCCCCCCCCCCCCCCCCCCCCCCAACCCACCCTACCTGTTTATTATTTATGCATAGT